CAAAAGTTGTTTGGTACGAGGGGGAGGGCATTATGTGGTGTAAATATTTTTTTGGTACCGGGTATGGTGGGGGAGATTTCAAAGCCAGTTTAATTTTTTTAAATGGAATGCTATATTTTTTTTATACACAATATTATAGTGTATGTTAAGACGAGTCCAACGAGGTGCAATATTAGGTATATATCAAAATTGAGATAGAAATTTATGTATCGAAATAATTTGAAAATTAACAGCTTTCCAATGATATATAGATCAGTGAAAATAATCAACAAATAAGTTTATCACGAATAAATAAAGAAGTTACAAAACGTAAGTTAGTGAATTTAGTTATCAACCGCCAATATGTACAATCGCCAAATTTTTTAATGTTCCCAATCGATGAAATAGCGAATGTTAGTATAATTTTGTATGTAATTACAGGAACTAACGCGTTGTTCGATTAAAATGAAAACAAAAAAAAAAAATAAGAAAAAAAGAGAAATGATAGGGTAGTTTATGAGGTCAGGTAGCGATGCTCCATTACTGTAAAAAGAGACCTCGCTGAACTCCGCAATCAAAAATGAATTCTGTCGGCGTCACAAAGTAACGCTTTACCTGACCTACCCCCAGTACCTTTCTAGACAATATTCTTTCAACATAATTTACCATGACTTGCTGTCGTGTAAAATGCTGGCGCAATTTTTCACTTAATACGCTACGTTTTTCCTGCGATTATGTACAGTGGCCACAGAAAGTGTATTTGTTCGTCGTTCTGTTTATTCCTTATGGAGATTTTATGGATATAAAAATATATAACATAGGAATACATTAATCCTAACACTATGAACAATTTTTCATTAAAAAATAAATGCACAATAATGGTGATACTATTTTTTAACAAATCTAATCACAGGGTGAAATTACAAATTTTCTTAAACAAAGTAACTAATACAGTTCTGATAATAATAACTTGTGAAAGTTCTACTTTACCTATGGAGCAGGTGGTAATAATCTTCTGTACCGTCATATAACGTGTGCACTTTTCGAGTGGCCACAGGATTTTCAATTACATATTATTTTGACGAATAAATTGCAAAACCGCGTAATTTGTTTATTTTTGTTTTTTAATACATAAAAATGAGATAAATTCACAGAGGTAATGTGTAGAGAATGGCTGTATAAGGGTTTCAGTCGTATAACGGCAATCGTGTATCGTTAATTGAGGGATCGATTTACGACCCGACCATCTTCTTGAAAAACGAATAGTTTTTACAACTACTGTACACGTGTTACGCGTGTATTTCCGGCGATACAAAGAAAATTCCAGTGAAAAGTTCTAACGATTGACATTCCTGTTTACGTTTCCCTCGTGCTGGAATCAACGGAAGGGACATTCTTTGTACGGCGTGCATGCCAAATATCGGCAGCGTCAATTATAAATATCACGTGTACTATGTATACGCATCGCAAGATAAAGTTGTATGCAGTTAGAGGAAATTGAAGAACGCTTAGTAAAGTTCGCTGCCACAACTTATCTTATCGGACATTTAATCTTCTTTACCACCGGGCTGTTCTATGCTATTGAGATTGCAACACGTTTTTATTGAATCTTAAAATGATCTGGCGTTTTTTCCAATATAGTTACTTCAGGTCGAACGATCGTTAACAATTGTTCTCTCGGGTTTTAACTTAATTTTATATTGCTCTCTGTGCTATCATTCAAGCTGACTGTGAGTCATTCGAGGGAAAGTTGATTACTCTCTATTGTTCGCTATCTTTGTGCATTTTTCTAATGATAATTTACGACAGCCACCGATGTCGCGATTGGATATATATCGCGAGTGTAAATTTCGATATAATGTTATACCGTCTTTTCCATTTATTTTGCAAATTATTTACTTAACGAGAATTTGTGGAAATTAACGATTATCGTCCGTTTACTCTGGATTTGTACAATATATTACACGTTCTAGATGAATTATTTGAACAGTTTGTGAAATATGGAAGCGACAGTATTGTTTTTAAGTTTCTTTTAATATAAGATTCAAGCATGATTCAGTAAACTTTGCCGACAAACAGGTCGTTTGTCTCGGGTTTGTGAGAAGTTAGTTCGTCGCTTTGCATGCGAAATCAGTTGCGAGAATCTCCAAGTCGCCTAGAGATCTAAATTAAAAGCGAGGATATCGCCTTTTTCCTCGATTCGACTTTGCATTCTCGAACGTATTTCACCATGACAAAATGTACCGCATTTCTTTGTTGTTTAAATGTTCAATTTTATTGGGAAAATTGAAAAAATAATATTGAAATATTTCATTATTTAATTATTTTATTAAATATTGTACATTTAATACTTTAAGTACAGTTTATTTTCTATTGTAATTATCAAACGTTGCGTAAATACATAGTGATTATTTTGAAAATAGAGGGAGTAGAGGATATTCGTTAATTATAGTGTTTTAAGTGTGACAAACTCGTTGAAAGTGCAGCTTTAGTTAATCCAGGGTACACAAATCCTTAGACAGTCAATAAGAATTGGCTAAATTCTGTGCTTTCAAAAAGGTGGAAATAATTTTTAAGGGACTTTACATGTCTATTGAAATTCCTCAGGTAAAAACGTGACGGTTAAGATACCAGTTGGTTGCCAAATGTTAGGGTAACTTCTGAAATCATAGTTTCCACACTTGGTGACCACATTTTCTCGTATTTTTGAATATTTTCATTCGGTTAAATATTTCCTTTAATTTGTCAATTCTGATATTTCAGGAATAACTCATGACGTCTGTCTAATAATATTAGACAATTGATACAAATAAATATCATTTGTTTTGCATTATGTAATTACACTATAAATTTTGTTGTTCAATTTCCTCTGTACGACTTCTGATTTTTCTAATCGATATTAAAATTAGATTTACCATGACTGTTGAAATAGTATTACGATATTTGTAGCATTGATAATAATATATTAAAAGTTACATACATAACATGAGAAAAAAATTCATCGCTAGATAAATTTATTGAAAAAAAATATATAAAATCCATGTCATGTACTGTATTACAATGATATTTCTTGGAAACTCATGAAAATCCGATCTAAACGTCAACAGGAAAATCTAGCAAGTCTTTGGAAATTTTGTGTAGAAAGTATTTTTATTTTGTTATTGAAAAATACATTTACATAGGTACACTGATAGCGTATAAGTAGATATTCATTAGTATTCACAATAGCTATGATAATGTTATTTATTTTATTGTTTATACATTGATAAAATTTATAGAAAATCACTTGTATTAATAATTCAGTGAAACGTATAAAATATCAGAAATGAAGAAATACTGTACAGGATAAATGAAAGAGAAATTGTTTAAATGAATTGTTAAATTGAAATAATTAGTTTATTAATAGTTATCATTTTCATGAGAAATAAGAAAATTTATTTGAAAGAAGAAAAAAAAAATTGTAATCGGTGTTTTGAAATATCACAATAGTAAGAGCGTGTTAATCGAAAACATTTGCCACACTATAAATTAACGCATACATCGTCGTTCCGTTAATTTAAAAACAACAGATTTTCTATTGTTGATATAATCTTGATCGTACTTCCGCGTGGTTGCTGTCCCCTCACGGGCACGCAGAACGCACGATTGTATATAAGGGGAAGACGCGGGCGAGAGCAGAAGCGAAGAAGTCCGTATCTTGGAGGCAACAGACGTATGCATCGGCGAGAGCATTGCCAGCTATCAGTATTAGTTCGGCCGTACTCATGTGCGCACCCGAGTCGCTCTACGCGACACCGTTACGACCATTTCATTAGAGGAAAACGAACTTCCGTGTTTATACGGGTGGAACGGGTTCCTTCTGACTTTCCAAGTATATTCGTGCAAGCCGGGTTACAGTGAAAGACACTCGAAGTGATTCCAGTGGGGTTAACCGGGACAAAGAATCGAGGAAACAAAATAATTCTGAAATCATGAGACTTTTTTTAAACGCAAGTACCGTAATAAGTATCTTTTCACGTCACCGACCTATTGAAATGGTCGAATGTTTGGTTATTCTCTTCCTGTTTTAACGACCGATCGATAGGGGATTATTAATAACTCGCTGCATTGTTACAATAACGTCAATATTAAAGAGACACGACCGTTCGTGTTGTTTGATGCTTTTGTGTTTAATTGTTGTATAAATTTTATTCGGCGATGTTGTTGATATTACATAAAGGGTACGATGCCACGAAGTGTGCCACGATGCGACATAAAGATAAATAACCGAATTAAATTATTTCACTCGCGTAATTCTTCTAGGCGCAGCTGCCGTAATCCATTCGAACTAAGTCATTCGCGAAGCCGTATCGAATAACAGAATAGTTTTGTTCTCTCTCTCTCGTGCTTTGCCTTTGTCAACAAACGGGTCGAACACGCGCTCGTTTTTCATAATGCTCAAGAGGTAAACAAAACATTTGATTCCACCGGTCATTCGTAATAGAAATAGTTTCAACGGAACGCTGGAAACGGACGGAAGCCGACAGTGTGTCTGTTTGCACGTGTGGATAGTGTATGTCAAGAGTGTAGAAGAAAGAACAGGATCGGGAAATCTCGGACCGGTGTTCGGGAAATCTTATCTGAGTCTCATTTTCACGATAAAAGTCGGTTAAAGTTTCTGTAGAATCGAAGATTAGTGAGATTGAGTGCCCTTTGAAATTTCGTGAAATGTGCAGTTTTCTTGCATCCATGTTAGCGACAAGATTTCGCAGGACGTCGAAAAGTCGCTCGACGGGACTCGATCTTAAATAAGAACGATCGATCGATTCTGCTGTTCCATGAAGTTAACTGTTCTTCTGAAGTGGTTCGTTATATTTCGTGAAAGATAAAGAGCTGAAAAATTTCGTCAAAATTTATATTGACAAGAAAAGACATAAAATTATAGGAAGTTCGTGAACAATTAACGTTAAACGCTTATCGACAGTTCACGTTCGAAAATCTGAGTGTGTTGTGTCTTTTTATGTGAGAATATATCAAACAATTCGGATAAAACGTCGAATGTAAGAATTGTAAATCTCAAGTGTTTTCGGCCCGGTGAAATTTATCGTGAAAGAGCATCTTAAATTTTATCGGACGCGTAAGACTATTTAAAGTTGATATTGTGAAACTCGACGTGATACGTGGTGCGCGGTGAATGTACTAGCACGTGAGAGAGGAGCGTTGTATATTTTTGAGGATTTTCCCCGCCATCGTGTCTTTTATCAGGATTAGAGGAACAAGTGTCTGTGCGTCATGGTATGTTTCCCTCTGTTTGTATTCTTAGCTCAATGTCATTGCCATTACCGCAAAACTGTAATACGATTTGTAAATTAATTCAAAAATAGCCGTTGCTTTGTAATATGGAACAGGCTGATATTTATTAAGGTACTTCTAGGGGTTATTTGGAAACAGCGTTTTAAGTTGGTAACAATGTTTTCGTAGAACGTGTAGTCTGTAATGTTCAAATAACTTTGTGCGGCTGGTCTAGGATTAATTTTTTAAACATAACATTTTTAAGATGTCTAATTATATATTCTTTCGCGATATAATAAACATGATCGGTGTAATTTTGACGTAGTTCACATGTAGCGATAGAACGAAAAATAAATTCTAGTTACTTTTCTAACTAGTTTTATATACATTTTTTTGATTAAGATACAATATTAAAAATGATTAGAAAAGTACATATCAATTGATTAGTGTTATTATCATCGACAACAAGAAAGAAATACATAATAGTTTAAGGTAAAGTGCTACTAGATAAAGCAGGATTAAGTTAGCTTTTATCTAAATGAGTTGATTGCGTACTGAATTAGTGTCTCTTTTCAATGTGATTAGTAATACCGATAATAACGTCACTTTGTTTTTTTATAATTGCTGCTTCCCCCTTGCATATCGATATTATTTTTTAATGTTATCTAATGCTCAAGTATACTTGAAACTTGTGTTTTGTCATTTCTTTTACGATGCAGTATCGTTTTTTAGTTTTTACTAACACTTTTTCAAAATTTTTAAATAAACATTGTAATACGTATGGAATATAAAGTATTCTCGTAATATCGTTCAAAGCGTTCAACTTAAATGAAAATGAAAAATAAAAGAATTCATATTAGAAATGTCTAATTTTACGTTTTAAACTAAAAATCTTCAATTTAACAAATATTTAACGTAACTTTTCACATTCGAATACTCGATCTTCTAGCAATTACAAGTGGTATGCACAATCATCGTCTGCATTTCTCTGAAATCTACGCGATGTACGCACGAGATCGATATTCGTTTTAGTTTAATAAAACTCAATGATTAAATGCGAGGCACGTGATACCACGAGTTCGTTCTTCTCCCGTACCGATAACGAAGGTCCATAGTTTCCCCGGTCAAATGTTGGTCATTCTTTTGATAAATGTTGAAGTGTCATCCAGGCAGAAGCACGTGGTTCACGGCTTCTCGGAACAACGATCGTGAATCATTAACTTTCTAAATCTTTCAATTAGGGATATTAACCGATGCATTGAACTTGTCTAAACTATACGACATAAACGATTATCAGAATTGTAGCGTGGCTGGATTTTTAGGAAGCAATCAGCCTCGGATAGCGAAATAATTTGTCGAAATATGTTGTGGTTGATTGCTAGTTCTAAATGCATGGGGAACAAATGGTCTGTGGGTGGAATCGTTGAGATGTCAAGGTCAATTTCATTTCTTTTTTTTTTAACGAATTGTTACAAACGACTGTGTATCACATAGCTGCTTGTGAATTAGTTATTTTATCGAAGTTTGTTTCGTTCGAAGTAATATTTATTTATAAGCGTGTATAAAATAGAGAGAAAAATTTTGTTGTTTGCAGAAATTCAGAGTAAGATAGAGGTTAGGATGATTTTGATACTGGTAAGTGTGGTTCAAAGTTATTATAGCGTAGTTACACAAATGTAGGTTGCGTTAGATAAATTCGTATAGAATAATAGCATCGTGTCATTAAGTTCAATGACCTATCCTACAAAATCACTCAAGACCACCAATACGAATTAATAACGCGATGCTGAAAGCATTTCTTATTGGCACGGCCGAAAGCTGAAGCTTTTTTGCTGTTGGAAATGATACATTGAATTATCTTATGCAATAATTATTTTAAATATGTTAAACATCGTTGTAAGAAACTGATCGATCTCAGTATTTTTTACATGTAACTCATTCAAAAATTCAATTGCTTAAGATAATCACGTTAACAATAATTCAGATCTATTTAAATACGAAATTATCATCTAACCTCATTTCATTTCCATAAGCATTTTTATTTTCCATCCAGTCCTGATGCTTCACGATTCGTTCACAGTCTGAAACGTTCCTTTGCAATAAAAGCAGGAACGTATGTCGCTCTTTTGTACCGTACTCGTTCAGAGTACGCGCGTATTAAAATATCTTTTGTAGCCTCTGAAAAGTAAACGCTGTAGACTCAGCATTTTGTCGCGACACGTTGTTGGACACTCTTAACAGCTACATCGTACTTCCTTCTCACAATCACGTTTCTTTCTTTCTATTTTATTTATTATACCTACGTTTCAAACGGGTTCTTTCCCCCCTCTCAGTATCAATAACGTTTATTCAGTTACAATGTAATCACGATAGTATTCAATTCCTGGCACATTCTTTCGCGCGTACTTCGTTTGAGCATTAAATCGAAGAATTTTATTTCGCCTAATGGAAGTTCTACTTTCAGTAATTATCGCGAGTTATCATCGCATGGTACGGATGTGTTATGTATATACTTATAAGTATAATATATTTATTTCCTTAGATAAAAATACACGTGATCGCACAATTTGTTTCTCTTCATCAATAATTTTGTAATAATTATTTCTCATGAATAATGAATAATAACGAATAACTTTGTACAAAAGTTTGTTTTTTTTTAAATTGCTTATATCGTTGAGATAAATCGTTATTTAATAAACCGCATAACCTTCAAGAAGCGAATTAATTTTTCCGTTTTTTTTTTCTGTACACCGTGTTACGAATGTTGAATTTCACAGTGTGCTTTAGCGTTGCAGATCTAAACGACGAAATTTTTATAAATCCACGCGTTAATTCGTAACACCTACGAGGAGGGACTTCCCCAAGCACGGCGAACCATGCGCGCGAGTTTTAATTGCTAATGCAATTAAGGTAATAGTAAGCTTGCACACCACGACGTTGCTTGAAAATTTACGTACGCGGCGAAGAATTAAAAGCTTTACCGGAGGTGAATTAGCCTGTGCGAACTATCCCCGGATACTGTGCCAAAACCGCGGGGAATTTCCTCGGACGAAACCGGCCATTTTTCAATTGGCAGGTTGGCTAGTTATTCTATAATTGAAGCTCGTTAATTTTCACTGCGTTCTATCCCTGTATTTTGCTTGTGGATGCAATAGAAGCTGCCACTTAAAATGAATTTGTCTTTCCTTTTTCCGTGGAGATTGTGAACACGGTAACGAAAATGGAATATACTCGTGATAAATTGTATTTGACACTTGGTACCTGGTGATATTTAAATGTCACCATTGCTCTGATATGTGGGAGTAGGGGAAAAAATTGTCTGACGGACAGCTGACTTTCAGTTTGGAAAAGCGAAATTCGTATGGTAATTTAGTTTAGCGTGCTGATACGTTCTATTGAGTTTTAAACTAGTTTTCGTTACTATGGAATTCGTGATCATACAACGTGAAGTGTTACCTTCGAATTTCTACGAAACGTTATTAGTGGATAGAATATAAAGAAACAGTTAACACGTGTTCCGGGTGTTACTGTAATTAATCAACAGTTTAAAATAATGTAATGATAATATGAGTACATTACAGGGACTATTATTTAATTTTCTGATGATAGATTTCTAAATGTGTTGCACTTAAATTGTTAAATAGATAGCGTATCTTTCGCTGTTTTAATTTTCGAAGTAGTAAAGGTTATCTTTCATTGCTTCTTTTACATAAGGTAAATAATAACATTCCTTTCAGATAAATGACAACCGGCAAACGACTTTTAGTAGTTTTCTCAGAATTCGAAATGCAAAATTCCGTTTATAAATCTGGTTCGTATATGCTGTCGATACGTTTAAATCTAATTGTTCCAAGTAACGTACAAGCGTGCAGAAAAAATTTTCGTTTTCACGTGTACAAGATGTGGCTGTTTTATGGATGTATTCGAGATGTGAATTTCCTGGTTCTTCACGTGCAAGTTGCTTATTAAGATAGCATAAGGTTCGCTCGAAAAGTAAATCGCCCTCTTCCTTCGGGCTTACATCGAGGTCACCGTTAAATCCACAATTATTTTGACGAATTAAGAGGAGGGAATTCCCGCGACTTTTCCTTCTCGCCGTCGTAAGCCTTCGTTAATGGCCGAGAAGATCGATGTTTCGAATCGATCCATTCGAATGCACAGCGTTATGCATTTTTTGCGAGAAAAGTAGAAGAAAAGAGAAAAAGTTTCGCATTTTTTTCTTCCAGTTTCATTATTTTCTTTTTGTACAAATATAATATTTACACGCGATGCAATTACTACGGCAACGTGGGAAAGCTGATTTTTTATGCAACAGTATTTGAAAGACAGTCGCGTGTTTATAGTACCGTCGCTATTTACCAAATCGGTGTCACGCTGATATCATGCGCGTTTCATTGAACTTCGCCGATTAGAAGTTTTTAAAAATACGATACGCTGTTATAATTATGATGACGCGGTTTAAAACTACGCACATTAACGTTTGAACTTGAAAGATTTCGCGGTATGTTGGTTGGTTCGCCGTGTTTGTAATTGTAATCAATATCACGCGCTCTTATGTCACAGTCAGCTGGGTTCTATACCGCTGTAATGTGTCTAAATAATCAATCTGGAATTATTTCCCTTGTGAAACACGTTAAAAAATAACATCACATTGTAACGAAGGCTTGTATCGTGCAGAATTTTATAAAACCCCCACGAAACAGGTATTTCGTAAATATTGCCAATTGAATAAATCAATTTCCCTAGTATTTTATTACTACATTATTATAACAATTTCAGTTATATTTAATTTATAACCCAATTAGCAAAAAAAAGTTTGTTTGAAATATTTGCAGTCTGATTGAAACATTTCAACAGTTTCCAGTGTTCAAACGTTCGAATCTTCAAATTTTCGTAATTGTATAATTTTGTTCTCTTTTAACTCTTTGTTCAATTTACAACCTAAATTCCCTCAGTTGTAGAACTTCAACGGCACCGCGTAATCCCGAATCTTAAAATAACACCTGCACATACAAAGTGTCTTAATATCAGCAAACACGTGGTGTATCTTTTAGGAAACGATCCTTAATTCGTCTCCGATAACAGAGACCGTGAGAGTCAAAGAGACGCAGTACGTGCTCCAATTCTACCTTGCATCGGGCTTCGGTATTCACACTTGGCCGAACAATCGTGTTCTAAAATTTCCTCGAGTTCTAAAGTCTGACAATAACGTCACACCGTACTGCCTCTAAACGCGTCAGAGTGTAACATCACAGATAAGGTTTTTCCTTTTACAAATGCTCCCATGAAGATCTACGCGCGAATACCAACTATCGATAAAGCGATCCATGTGGGATGCATAGAAGAACCAGGAGAAGAAGAAGAACCAGGAGGAGAAGAAGAAGAAGAACTAGCGGAAGGAAAGACAGGGGATCGTAAGATATGCACGTGATCATCGTGGCCACTGTTAAATTGATAGCAACTCATACACAATGAACTTCATTTATAATCGCCGACTCTAACTCGAGCTACTTCGGCTGGTTACGAAGTGCCAGAAGCAAATCTAAACGTCAACGCGTCTCTCTGCCAAACGTCTAATTCAAAATGATGACGTGAGAATTCTGCTTTAGGCGTTCCACTTGCAACCCTCCTTTTCCGGCTCCCGCACTTCCACAACTTCTTTACGGTATTAAGCCCGCTTCGAATCATTATAACGCGTCTTCCCGTTGGGACCGTTTCATAGAATCGAATATGAGAGGAAATGTATGCGCTTACTTAATCCACTATGCAAGCTTATGCAACTGTCAATGGGGTTTTTGTCTTCAAGGTTGTAAAAAGATCTCGTGTTAGTTTCTTACGCGTTGTAAATTATATTGCTCTTTTGCAATCGTAGTTAGATGGAATTTTAGCGTTAAAGGAAGTTAGTGTTTACTTTTATTCTAGCGGATTTCAACGGAGATACATACGTTTCTGTTAGAAATGATTTTCGTGTAAATTTACAGTTCGATTAGGTCTGTAACGCACAACTGTGTCGTTAACACTGCTTAGCTAAATTTATCGACATTTTTCTGGTATTCTTTGAGAAAATATCGAAAGTGAGAAGTTATGCAATGATCGAGAAGTATTTCTTTGGTGTGTTATAAATTATGCTAATCGTTTAGTCTGGTGACCTAAGGTGTGATCTGAGGCCATTAGCGTTCACCATTTTAGATTTGGTAAATGTTAAACGTATACGTTACTTTTCTTTTAGTATTTAAAAAACATAGAGAGTATATTTAGATATTGAAACGATATCACAGTGAAATTCAGCACGAGAAAATAGAGAAAAAATCTATTCTTCAATCACCGTTGCATTTCTTAAGTGTTTCTGAATCGTGACTATTGTCGCGTTCCAATTAATCCCGTCGGGAATTAACTAGTATCGGCGATCTCATTTGAATATTTACAATCAATGCCTCATCACACGAGGATCGTATCGGCTACGAACACCCTCACGGAGGTTCTATGAATCGGTGCTACAGAGGCCGAAGCCTTCAGCCTGTTCTAATGGCACTTTCAGCAAAGGCGGCTGAACAATTGATACGGCACAAAAACGGGCGCAACTTGAAAACAAGGTCAGATGGAACGGACATTTATACAGGCTCTTATCGTTATATTTATGAGCCGAGTGTACTTCCAAAGTTATATTCACGTTTTGCATCCCCTGTACCAATTCGATGCTTTTCAAAGGATGGATGCACTGTTTCGTCGATAGTCATTCGAATAACTGAATCTGTAATTAATTTAGGCGGCGTATGGTAACTGTAATGAAGCGTAAAACGTGTGGAAAAAAATGTATTTCAATCGAAACGATATTGTTAACAATTCTAAAAATTGTGAAACAGGTGTGTGCAGAACTCGAGGATAGTTGTAATACACGAAGACTGTAAGACTGTACAATTAATTCAGTGGTAATAATAGTAAACAAAAAGTTAACTATTTTAATACATTTCTTTGTAATTATTTGATAGTTTGACAATTTTTAATATTTAGTGAAAGCAGGATTTTTATTTTCAATCTTTGGTGAAATATTGAATTTTTGTCTCTTCAAGACATGTTCCAATTATTTCCAGGAACTAATTAATCTCACTAATTAGCATTTTATCGATTCGAAAGTAGGTATTATATATAAAGTATGTCTCCTGACGTAGCAAGAATTAAAAGATATTAATACTATGTAATTATAAATCATAAATGATCTTAGAACACAATAGAATTTAGAATACACCTGTAAATAGTGGAAACGTTGCTCAGCTCTTAAGAACGACATCGATTCGCGAGAAGATGCTTTTCAAGCTTTTATAACCCCAATCGATTAAAAGTGTAGGCGGAAAAGTAAGTTTCATTGAATAATAAAATGCAACTGGGGGACGAGTGATTCCCTCCTGTTGCCAAGATTTCCGCTTATCGGTCGACGGATTAAAATAAAGCATTTCTCGCGTCACCGCAATCTTTATAGACAGATTTAAGAGTAATCTGATGATACTTTTTATTCGGTGCATGATTTGTGAGAAAAAAATTTACTTGTTAAATGCCCTCTTTTGAAACTTGCTAAAATTCTGTAGAAATTGATGAATTCTATACAATCTTATTTCGTAGAGATTAATTTTTTTCTCCATATAGTACAATATTTCATTTGTCTTGGAAAAGACTGTAAGGTCGAACTATCGGTGATAGTAAAATCGTGAAAAAATTTATCATCTTACAAATGTGACCGTATCATTTGGTTTCCTAAGCTGAAATATGTCCTCGTTAATCTGCGTGGAAGTAATAAAAAAAAGTAGTAACGATTGTTGTAAATCGTTAAATCGTTAAGTTAAAAAGAAAAAAATTCTTGTTCGTACGAATCTTCTTTAATATTGGCAACGTATATCTATTTTTACGAGAACACTGGAAGAAGCCAGATTTCTGGCAAAAATACTTGTTCTTCTAGAAAATCATGGAAAATTAAAAAACAAATATTCTTCGTACACGCTTGTCAATTTAAAATAATCTAAATACATTGTTGCATAGAAATAATAATAAACGAGATATATTATTGAAATAGTATTATTTTTTTTTTTTTAACTAAAAATTAGTCATTCGAACTGTTTCGATAGTTTCAGTGGATATTCCATATCTTGGACACGTTCAGCAATAAATGTCACAATGCAGTCGTCGATACC